ATCGTGGTTGTATCTCTATGTAGTGCGTTGTTAACTCGTGTAGTGAGTTACCTCCTGTTGTGGATCAATCACGTTGTGTTGTGTGGTGTGAACAGCTAAACAACTTGAACACTCATGATTTCACTGAGAGCAAGTCATGTAATGTGAACTGCACAGTTCAGCCCAACATTTTAAAATCATGTAGTGTGAACTAGGCTTTAAAATCATGTAGTGTGAACAAGGCTTTATAAGTTGTTGTGGACATTAATGGAACGAGCACACCTGTCTGTATTCAGCTTATTATTTCTGTTTGTCCAGATACAGAAGCCACACGTGTAAACTTACCGTGTCCTGATTGGCTTATGATCTGATCTGCTTGATCAGATCACTGTGATCGCATGTTAATGCCAAGTCTAAACGCAGCCTTAGGTTAAACCACAGGAGTCACCTGGATTACTTAAATGTCTTTACTACCTTTCTGGCACTTGAAAGTGGTAGTTTCGTAGACTGTCGAGAGAGGAACAAAAAGCTCTCAGATTTCACTGAAAAGATCTTAATTTGTGGTTCAAAGATGAATGAAAATCTTACAGGTGAGTAATTAATTACTGGATTAACACTAGGCCTATTAAAAAAATTTGCTTATATCCAACCATGCACATTTTTGGTTACCTCGTGAATGGTGTATGAATTCTACAGATTCTGATCTGTTCTGTGTGCTATGAGGGGGTTTAGTGAGAGCATGTGATGTCACAGGTGCACGAGGGTTACTTGAGGATGCCTGTCAGCCTATTGAATATCCATCCACTTATGTGAGACAAAGAACGTGAAGTGCAGCAGAAATAGCCGTTTTTGTTGCCATGGGAACATTCCTCATTTCTGCACAACACATGCGTGGTGAGTGACATTTACAGTATAATTTCCAGATCAAAGCCATTTGCATATGGCACACTTTTAGTGCAATCATCAAACCTTTGTGGGGCTGATAGGAATCTGCACATACTTGATGAAAATGATGATTAATCAGTTAACGATTCATATTAAAATATTAGATCTTTAAAAATGGAAACATGGCATGCAGAGTAAGACATTTTAAAAAATATACTGTAAATGTATGTTTCTGGGAGAACGCATTGTAAAGCTTGTTATATGTTATTTATGTGTATTTGTATATGTACGCTACTGTTCAAATGTTTGAGGTCAGTATTAACCAAATAAATACTTTCATTCAGTAAGGTTGCATTACATTGATCAAAAGTGAGTTTTTTGTGACAAAACAACTCTTTTCAACATTGATAAGAAATGTTTCTTGAGCAGCAAATCAGTGACATGTGACACTAAAGACTGGAGTAATGATGCTGAAAATTGAACTTAGCATCACAGGAAAAAAAAAAAAATATATATATATATATATATATATATATATACATATATAGAGAGAGAGAGAGTGAGAGAGAGAGAGAGAGAAGGGACTGCAGCTTTCTATATTTGCATTAAGTATAGTGTGGAACTGCTCTGAAATGGCTGATCCTCCACAAGCATTGAAGGTCAAGTCTCTCATCTCTCTATAAATATGATGGTCTGTCCCAGCGGGTCCTCCTGCTCGGCTTTTCCACACGAGTCTGCTGACCAGCGGAAATCTGCACATTTGCATGTGATTTGATAGTGTGCAAATCGTTCCTCCTCCAATGGCTGGTCATGTCACAATGATGAATTACTGCATTCTGTGAAAATAAATAAACTCAGGACTGCTTCTGTACTATTAATGCTTCACATAAACTGGACGTAAACACAGCTTTCCTGACTCAGCAAAAAAGCATTATTCAAGAATAGAGTGGTAATTACCCATTCAAAACTTGTTGCACTATTAATTGGATGTTGTCATGCTGTTTCTAAAGTGAGATTAGCATGTTGATAGTAGTTGCTAAGGTATATTGTGGGTGGTTGCTTGCTTGCCCAAATCTGGTACTTTAGCTCAGTTCCCTTCTTCAATGCAATTCTATGAGATTTGTTATTTATTTGGATTTTTTTTTGTTCACAAATGACAATTATGCACTGCAATATCTGATTTTTTTACTCAGTATTTTGTCTTGTTTACCCAGTACAAATATCTTTTTTGTTTTAAAAACTATCCAAAATAAATTTGAGCAAGTACTAGACCAGCCAGTGTTCAAAACTATCTGCTTGCCTTAGCTCGATTCAAAACGGTAAGCTTGTAATAATGTTTTAATTCCAGTGGCACCAGTGGATTTCTGCGGGAAATTGTCTTTGAGTCATTACGTCACATCTGTATACATAAAGAAGAGTCTCGGCTAGTAGCGTTTGAGGATGTTGGAGGTGGAGATTAGCCTTTTCTCACAGCACTTGATATAATTTTAAATGTTAAATTGATGGCAGTTCCAGAAAGGTTCAAACGACAATCACCAGTGACAACTAGAAATTCACCCGTTGTAAAAAAAAAAGAGACTGCAACAAGGCCCATGCGAAAACAAGGATAAATATCTGTAGGGCAATGTAGTCATGCAATGCTGATGTTGTTAACATGAACAATTTGAGAACAAAGTATTATTTGAAAGGTTTGATGTGATATGATAAGCGATTGTTAGATTTAATCAGCGCGATTTACTGCTTCCCCTTAGATGTTCCTTACTTTTTCAGATGACGTTTTCCTGTGAAAATTCTTATGTTGGTCATACAAAAAGTAGAATCTGTGATTCTGAATGACAGTATCCACGCCGGCACGGCGACTGACAGCCCCACGCTCTCCTCAAAACATTGTGTTCATCAGCGCTATGCCGTGCCGAGGCACAACCCACGTAAAGTTGATAATTCTCAGAATAACTGCAATTGCAGATTTCAAACAGAGATGGCGACAAAGAGGAAAAACTACGGACTGCAGCTTTAAAAGCTGGGGAAAAAAAACTATCAAAATGAAGTAAGTTTAAGTTTAAAACAAGAAAAAATCTCCCGGTGGGGTAAGAAAAATTTCAAAAGCTCAATTTTTTTTTTTTTTTAAGAAAACAAGACTTAATATCTTTGAAAACGAAACAGTTATTGTCTTCACTAAAAAGGTGAATTTGTGAAAATGCTGACGTCATGATTATGCATAGCACGTGTTCAGTCTATAAGCGTGTAGTTTTCTTTACAAATTGACATCGCCAACAACACCTGGCATAAATAACACAACGTTTCGCACATCCGTGTGAACAGGGATCATTTTGACAATGTTGTCGTCTTTACGTCACAACCTTTCTGTTTTTCGTACTGTTGTCGTGTAAACTTACCCAAAGAAACAAAATGGCTAATATTTTTCAGTTTCAGTGTAAGTCATTTATCAAGACTCTTGAGAAATAATTAATGTCCAGAGAATGCATGAGTGAACATGAGTTGCTTGCCCGGGTATAAGCAATAGTAATAATGATGCTTGCTTGTTTTTTTTAATACTGGCGGGTTACAATGTTACTTAATAGACTAAGACTACAACTCACTGACGGTATCTGTAGTGTATCATGTTATCCTGATTCCCTCCGCTCCACTAATGCAGTGCAGTTGTCTTCCCCTGTTGTAACTTAAGATGATGGTCACGGCAGGTCAAGTATTTTTAGCTGTGTAAATTGTATTGTAAAGAAAGGTCAAGGTTAAACGCCAATTGAGATGTAGTGAGGACACTGAACAAGGGCTTACTTTCAGTGGTGACACTTTACTTGAAGGGGTGTGCATAAGCCTGACATAACACCTTCATAATCATGACATGACATATGTTATGAATATGAAGAAGGTTTTATGCATGTTTGTGACAGCTGTCATTAAGTGTCATTCGCTCAATTAGGACATTTTTAATGCAAATATGACATTGTTTAAGATGTCTTTGTCACAAAACATTTTCATGACACAGTCATAATGGCCTCATGACAGCCAATGTCAAAGCCAACCACATGACAGTTCAACTTAATTTTATGTCAAGTTGTCATGACAAAGACACTGACGGGTTATGATGTTATGGTTTATGTCAAGATGTCATAACAAAGACATTATAAACAATGTCATATTTTCATTCAAAATATCATTATTTCTTATAAATAATCATATATAATAGCTTAATTCCAGATGAAAAACAACATCATCAATGTTTCTGCACATAAATCTTGGAAGCCAATCAGAGAATCGAACAAAAAACAAAACACACCAGAAGAACCGTCCATTCCCATGAAGCACTGAGAATGTCAATCTCCAGCGCTTTAAAATTCCTTAAATATTTGTGTGTGTGTGCGCGTGTATGTGTTACATAATAAACCTAAAATACATTGTTTAAATCAAACTTAAATTTTCAGTTTTTATTCTTTTAAGAATAATGAATGGAAAAATACTTCCGGAACCAAGGCAGCTGAAAAAGTGGATGCACACTGTTGCACTATAACATTTTGATTAAACATGATGAATTCAAATTTGGTTTTGAAATGATGTGCATCAATAAATACGTTCAAATAAAACCAGGAGCATCTATGTTAAAAGAGCTAAGGGCAGTTAGGATTTTGTTTTGACTTTACTGCTGATCATTTATAACACTCATGAGCTAATGGCTAATGATAGCTGGCTGCAACTATCAGGACTTTCAGTTCCAGTTGTACAAGTAGTAGTAATAGCGTACTACTCTTAGAATATCTGCCATAGTTACTGTATGCAAGAGTATGCAATTCTAAACACAGCTTGAATCTTTTATTTCAGCACAATTTGGGTTTTCTTTTATTCAAACCCTTTCTGCTTTCAGTCCCTTTTCACAAGCAGTAACACAGCAGCACGTCCATTCACTTCTCCTTTGCGCTGATGCAAAAGTGGCTCGAATGTGGGCCGTTGCATAACCCTTCACAGGGTCCCTTTTCTATTTTTGTTCCTGGATACGCGTCTCAGTGAGGTATTTTCTGTGGTGACTCGCTTACATCTGTAGGTCTTCTAATGTACTCTTATTGAGCAAGACATGGATGACTGTTGAGACTTATTCCTGGCACATTTGTCTTTTTTTGAAGGTGATGTACAGCAATACGGGAAGCAGGAATTATGAGAACATCTGCATTTGACTGGAGACATTGGACAAGGCTGAATTTGGACTCCAGGTTTGTAGGTTGATGGCAATCAGTGTGTTATACGTTTCTCTGGGACTCAAAAGCAGGTGACTCGTCAAAGTCGGTCCTTGACTGCTCTGCTTTTTAATGTGTCCGTGTGTCTGTTACAGTTTTAAGATGCAACACAGCTGTATTTCATGAGATGCCAGGCATTCCGCTGGGTAGCGATGCCATGGGGGGGCTGATATGACGTAATGGCATTCTCTGGAGTCTGGTTATATTTTCCCGCCTCTGGCTTTGATATGTTCCTCTGGTTGTTGTTGTTGTAGTGTGGATGCATTAATGCAGATGCATGTGTGATCACCTAAAGGATGATCGAAGGTCAAACTTAGATACTTCTAGTTTTATGCCCACTATTTCAGATGAATTTGGATGAAAAGGATAAATTCACATCGTGTTACTTTGACAGATTTAATGTGATCATTGCCCCATGTCTTAGTGCTAAATCCTGTGGAACCATTGACACTTGTCAGCCCAGTTTTTAAAGGTGTATTTAGTCTCTTACATGTTTATCCACCATATTCCTCCTTCAGTGTGTTGAGGACAATGCAGGATTGAGATTGACCTTGAAAAAAGCACATCTGATCGCTGTGTTTTGTCATTCCTACATCCACGTTCTTCTCTGCTCGCTATCATCTGACAGACAGGCTGTTTAGATACAAACTGGACCCGTGGGAAACATTTGACTTCATTGTAGACCATGTCAAAGTTCGGTTTTAGGTTTTATAGCCTGCATGGCAGAGCTTGATATTTCTTCTTTATTGGCTATAGAGTTTGAATGTCCTAATTAAGAGGATTGAACCAGATAACCTTATGTAACCTCATTATACACACTCTGATGTATGCAGATGGTAATTATATTTGCACGTCTTCTGAAATTGTGTAGGCAGAGATGGAATAAGTTGCAATATTATTGTTTTATATTTTGTTCATATTGTGGCACTACCTGTTGACTTATTTGAACAGTAAAATGTTCACTTTAATATAATGGAATTTGGTCAGACATTTGTCTTGTGTTGCAAAATAGATGTATAGATACATTCCCTAGACTCTCTTGACATTCTACAGGGTACTTGACATGTATATATATATATGTATGTATATATATATATATATATATATATATGTTTGGTTAGTGAGGTACATAGTCATTAAACCAGGCTGTAACCACCATACATTGTATATTGAGGTAGACACATTCTTCCTAATATTCAGAATAGTGCATCAATAGGGTTTTTTTTTCCCAATCGTAGATCTTTTACATTTGTTCCCCTGAATCTTGAGCATTTGGATACACCCTTACATCAAAAATTTGAAAAAGCTTTTATTTGAAATAGAAAACAGAAATCTTTTGTAAATCTATTTACTGTGAACGGTCAATCTAATGCATTTCTTTCAAAAACATTTACTGACAGCAAACCTTTTAACAGTAATGTACAGTATATAATTGAGTTATTGATATTCATTCATATTTCAGGATTTGCCAGATATCTTATCTTATCAGATATCAGATTTCTTTGAAAAGCAACAACAACATTGCAAATAGAGATTATACCTAATTTTTTTATCCTTGCACAGCCGTGTACTTGTTGTACTTAGTTTTGGTCAATTCTCTAATGGAGGAATTCCTGACCTTACAGTTTGAGACGACCTTCGCATCAATCACAAACCTCAGAAAGACACAGAGATGGTGCTGGCACACTGCCTTCAGAAACACTCTACTCAGGGCATGGTGAGTTTATGGGCCGTTTTGGCTTGAAGATGGCTTTTGTACTCGTTTCATGAATAATTAACATTTCATTATACCACTCAAGTTATACTCCACCATAAAATAATTGAAATGTTTTTAATTTGTTAGCTGATAACATGTTTTTCACTGTTTTCAGACAATTTGGATGTGGTGCCCAGGCCTAAAGGTATATAGAGATGGAGACCATTTTTAAACAACTTGAGTGAACTATGCTCTTGAACATATGGAAAGGATAATTTAATCATTTTTGAATATGATGCCGATGGACTGACTACTGTACAATTATTGGGGGCCTGTTTAAAGCATTGAAGGATTAAACTTCCAAGTTAAGTGAAACTTTAATCGAAGCAAGAAGATGTTCGTTGTCACAAAACCAAGGGCAATGTAGCAAACTGGAGTTAGCATATCCTTATCATGGAGGCTACTAAAACCTCAGGTGAAGCGGAAAGTTCCAAACAGATTATCAGTTTAAAAGATGACGAAACACACTTGCCATCCGAGATGACCCAAAGAGGCCAATCCTCTGGCTCAGAGGACAAAATAAGACTTGTGGAGCAACCCCAGACCCCAGTTGTAAGTCCATCTTCTAGTATGGAGTCACAGGTCCTTGCTTCAGAAAATATTCTTACCTCAAAATCTAAAGAACAGTCTCACATCCAGCTCCGGAGGAAGAACGTTCCTCTCCCAAACAAACGATATCTTCAGTCGGAACATGAGCTGCTGTCAGAGGGCCTTCACAAAAAGGAGCAGAAGTCTGTTAAGACTGGGAAGTATATATGCCAGTATTGTGGGAGAGCTTGTGCCAAACCCAGCGTACTAAAGAAGCACATCCGTTCTCATACTGGCGAGCGACCGTATCCGTGCATTCCTTGCGGTTTCTCATTTAAAACTAAGAGCAACCTCTACAAACACAGAAAATCTCACACCCATGCAGTGAAAGCAGGTTTGGTTTCATTTTCAGAACAAGACAGCAAGCATATGGATGAGGAGTTAACTGTGGCAGAGGGTGAGATGCGTTTTGATGCTGAGCAGAGCAGTGAAACCGATGAAGAAGTCGTGGACAACTTGTCCTTGGAGACAACAAGCCATATCAAAGACAAAGAGGGTTTTGTGCATGAAAAAGTAGTGAAAGAGGCAAAAAGGGAAACCATGTGCGCGGCTCAGACTTCAGTCAAAAAGGAAACAGGGTCATCAGGAAAAGTATCTTTATGGCAGTTCCGGGAAATGTCGGCACCTGCGGCTATTGCTCAGGTGGACCAAATGATTGAATTCTCCACCATCAAGCAAAGACTTGCACTTCGGCTTACGGAGAAGAAAAGTCAAGACTCTGATCAGTCTCTTTCCCTGCCCAGTTCATACAGTAAAGGCAGCACTGATTCAGGATACTTCTCACGTTCTGAAAGTGCAGAGCAACAGATCAACCAGTCGAGCGTGAATGCCAAATCGTATCAAGAAATAATGTTTGGGAAATGTTATAGACCAACGACCAGGCCAAAGCAATCAATCACTGTACAAACTTGCATGACAGACATAAATGAAGCCACATCTAGCTTCATGATTACCTTGAACAAAGGCATGATCCCTGGTGACACAGACTCCTCCATTCACAGAAGCAAAAAAGACCTAGTTCGATCAATAAAAATTGATTCAGAGTCCTTCCAAGAGGAAGATTACCAAGAATGTCAAAACCCTAGCTCTGACTTTCCGGAAATGGCACCAGACAGTAGTGTATTCTTGCGCAGTAATTCTCTTCCAACATCGTCTAATTCGAATCTAAATGCACCAGAAGGGCTAAGAAGCAGTAATTCATTTGATGAAAGATTGACAGGTGCTGATGTCACCTACAGGGGTGCAATGGGTATGAGAAGACTAATGCGGCAAGCTGCGTTTGAGCACTCTGCTAACGAAGGACATGCGGAATCAGACTGCTACGCTCATCTGGCTTGTAGCTTAAAATCAGACTTGAAAATTCACAGCGTAGATGATTCCAAAATGGGTGCAGAAAACTGTCAAGAAGCTGATCTGTGTTCCATATCTCCATGCTCCTTATCTGAAAATTCTACAAGGAAACGAAGAAAAGACAAAAATGTCATGGAGGAAGAAGACTTTCATATCCAAGTCAAGCCTTCTGGACACTCAGAGGAACCTGAAACAAAGCAAACTACTTTAGACGCCGCCTTTTCTGACACCGAGAGAAAGGCTGGCAGTAATGTTATCTCTGTCATTCAACACACAAATTCATTAAACAGACTAAACTCGTCAGAAAAGTCAAGTGATACTAGATCGCATCCCTTGAAGGAGCATAACATGGAGGTTCACAGAACAGAAGGAGTAGACTGGCAATGGGGAAGCAGTGGTTTTCTACACCAGAAACTTCACATGCCTAAACAGCCACCATCTCAGCCCAGTATCCAAGTTCCAGAGATCAGAGTAACTGTGGAGCCTGACAGACCCGAAAAAGCTCAGGATGTAGGGGTCAAGCAGAAGGAAAAACACGCCGAAGAGTTCCAGTGGCCACAGAGGAGTGAAACCCTGTCACAGTTTCCAATGGAAAAACTACCACCCAAAAAGAAACGCTTGAGATTAGCAGAATTGGAATGTTCTTCTGGAGAATCTAGTTTTGAATCTGCTTGCACAAGTCTCTCCAGAAGCCCGAGTCAAGACAGCAATTTATCTCACAGCTCAAGTTTTTCCCAGTCTCTTGACAGAGAGGAGACCCTAAACCTTGTGTCTCAAGCTAACCCAGATGAGTTTAATAAGCCTTTGGAGTTCTTATCTGTGCCCGGTAGTTCACAAAGTCATCACAGAGAGATGAGACGTTCTGCTTCAGAGCAGTCACCCTACAAATTACTCTCAGAGGTTCCAGAATTTCGAAGCAAGTCTTTTGATTATGGGAGTCTTTCTCCTTCATCTACATCTAGGCTGGATGAGGTTAAAGAGCGTAGAAGGGCCTTCTTGGTTAGGCAGGCATCATTAAGTGGTGAACCCGAAACACAAGGTGGTACAGTCTTAGATGAAATGAGCAAGAGAACCTTACCAAGCAAAATATTTACACCTGAGGAAACCATTGAGAAAATGAGGTACTCTTTGATTTCCGGTAGTCAATATAGCCCAGTGCAAGCTTCATCTCAATATGCCAAACCAAATGTTTGCAATGTTCAAGACATGGATAGCATAATGCTTCTAATTAAGAAAGAACCTGAAGAATCCAATGCATCTGAACTTAATATTAACTTAAGAAAACCCCAGGAAGATTCTCAGAGTTTAGGCAATGTTTTGTCAACGATAGCAGTGCTTTCACATGCTCACCAAGCATTAGCAAGTCAAACCACTTCCAGCTTGTTAGTTCCTGTCAGAATTCAGATGCAAGTACCATCTTACGGAAACATAACGTACACTAGCATATCTCATATTCTGGATTCTCAAACAAACAATCTTATATCGTGCAGAGAACACAAAACTTCCTCCTGTCAAAGTCCTGCCATTGTCCTGCCACAAAATATTGATCTATCTCCAGTGTCAGGGCACCCAAGGCGACAACTGCAAAACTCACAGGCATCACCAGCAAAGCTTAATACAGGTATACCTCTATCATTAACCTCCAAAACTATCTCTACTACAGAGGCCCCCAGTGGTGGAGCAAACAAGCGCATGCTCTCACCTGCAAGTAGCATTGAACTCTTTATTGAAGCGAAACAGCAAAAAAGAGTCAAAGATGAGAACATTTATGGCCAGATTGTTGAAGAGCTTAGTGCTGTCGAGTTAGGAAATCTTGAAGGTGAAAAAGAAAGTCCCAAGAAAGGTTTCAAATCAGGAAGCACCCCAGAGTTGTGTGAGCCCACTGGGGTAGTAGATATGGATGAGGACAGCCAAGACTTTTACAGCAATCCAAAGTTACAGTCTCCTGCCATAATTCCTCAAGATGCTGCTATGATGGAGAGTAAACCGACACCTGAACACATGATGCCTAGTTATCGTTCTGGAATAGGTTCAATGCCCTCTGCTATCACTGGTGCTTTACTGTTCTCTAAGTTTCCAGGTCTTCACACTACTACTTGTGTGAGCTGGTGCTATCTCAACTCCACTAAGCCAAATAGCACCAAAACAGTTGCACATTTCTCTGAGTATGCCACATGGTTTGTGAGATGCCATAACCCTAACCCACCCGATCTTAGCACTGGGGTGGTTCTTGCTCTTCTCCGATCCAAACAGGGGAGGCAGAATACCATTTATTCAATCGCTACCATGCATCAGCCTGGAGTACTTGTGACCTCCACCCCCTGGAGACCGAAGCAAGAACAAGTATGTTGCCTGTTGTTGGTTTTTGCTGATTTGCCACTACTATGCTATATTTACCTTTACGATGATCCGATATTTGTTTAGTCATCTGTTCCAAATAGTCTTCTGTGGTATTGCAGGTAACTCCGGACTACAGAGAGGAAGATACAAAACAGGACGTGAGGATAAGAGACATAAGCCAGAGGGGCAAATCTTTACGAGAGGATGTTGCATCTACCTTACGGCAAATTGAACCAGTCCGTGTGAAGATTTTTGAAGGAGGGTATGGATATGTACTGTAATGCTAATGTTGATGTGTGACTGTCGAAATGCCCCCTAATGAAAGTGTTCTCTCTTTTTTGGTTGTTTATCAGGTACAAGTCCAATGAGGAATATGTGTATGTGAGGGGTCGTGGTCGGGGAAAGTATATATGTGAAGAGTGTGGCATTCGTTGTAAGAAGCCAAGCATGCTCAAGAAACACATTCGAACGCACACGGATGTCAGACCCTATATGTGCAAATGCTGCAACTTTGCTTTTAAAACTAAAGGTTGGTGTTACCATGTTCTTGTGACTGCAAAAGTTTGGGATAGAAAACTAACCTTGTCTTATTTTCAGGGAATCTCACCAAGCATATGAAGTCAAAAGCTCACATGAAAAAATGCCTTGAACTAGGGATTTCACCCACAGCCATGGACAATTCAGAGGATGCTGGTAGGAACTTTACTTCAGTAATGCTGGGCAGTAGTATCGCTAATAGCAAAGCTTTTAGTTTAACTGCATTTGTTCGTAGCAACTAGCAAGGTGTTAGCATCACTATAGAAGTGGAACATTTCCATGGATTTTGTTTAATAAGTAGTTGAATCTCGTTGACTAGTTGACTTTCAGTAGCAAATCTCCAAATCTGTTTTCTTATAAGGGCCTTAATTCTAACATGATACTAATTATGAACACCCCTAAATGTCAGAAAAATGTGCTAATTTACTTTTTTTTTGTTGCTCTTGCTGCTTGTGTAGATGACACCCAGAAGTCCTCTGGCATAATGCCATTGGAAACGACCATTAAACATCAGTTCTCAGATGTGGAAGACTCTGATGGTGTCGATGACGATGAACCAGACGATGATGAAGATGATGAATGTGATGGTGATTCTACACCAAAAACGCTGTCAAGAAGCACAAGTCCCCAGTCCTATGCAGTCAACAAGCCATGTATGTCTGGTTGTAACCCTAAACACTTTGACCCAAGCCGCAATCTACTGAAGGAACAGCTTGAAGTTTCCTCTCAGAGTATTGACGATGATCTGACCTTTGAGCAGTCAAGCAGCTCCTTTGAGTCTTGCCCATCTCAGCTGTTGTCGCCTTGTTGGGATTCACCTCGCCAGAGGTACATATCTCCAAGAGGAGACCACTCGCCACAACGTCACCTGTTGTCATGCCGTGATTCGTCTCCTTTAAAGGCCATTTCTCCAAGGAGAGATCTGAGCATCAGAGGGGACTTTTCACCCATCCGGCAGCTGTCACCTGCAAGACCTACAGGTTCGGACCCATCGGGGCAGCGAGCACAGTCTCCGCTGGGTCGACATAAAGGGGTGCTCAGGGCCGTGTCTCCACGGAGGGGGTCTTATCAGCATAGGACCCTCATGGATCCGGGAAGGAGTGTGAGATTTCAAGCTTCTGCCCTTAGACCAATCATTGGAATGCACTCAGATGTGGGAATGGTAGGCTTCTACATTCACGCATTTGGCAGACACTTTAATCTTTTTATATTAAATTCAAGGTACACATTTTTAACAGTTCTTGTTTTCCCTGAGAATTGAACCCATGATCTTGACATTACTAATGCCATGCTCTACTGATGGAAAGATTGCCTTTTTATGCATTTTGGAGACAAAAGTGTACCTTGTAATTTATCAAATAATTATAATTTGTATAACAGTTAACTAATGATTTAGATTTTTATCAGAAATGTTAGTGAGGTCTAAAAACCGTTGAGTACACCACTTAACTATTTTTGTAATGTAGCATTTCTACAGTTTTCTATGGAAGCTTGTTTTCGCCACTGAATTAAAAAAAAAAAAATAATTGCAAATTTTTATCTCACAATTGTGAGATATGAAGTCAGAATTGTGAGAAATAAAGTCGCAATTGCGAGATATAAAGTCAGAATTGCGTGATATAAAGTCAGAATTGCGAGAAAAAAAGACAGCATTATGACTTTTTATCTCAAAATTCGGACTTTTTTTCTCACAATTGTGGGTTTACATCTCGCAATTCTGACTTTATAACACATAATTCTGACTTCATATCTCGCAATTCTGACTTTATAACACACAATTGCGACTTTATATCTGACAATTCTGACTTAATATCTCACAATTCTGACATAACACGCAACTGCGACTTTATATCTCACAATTCTGACTTTATATCTCGCAATTCTGACTTTATAACACGCAATTCTGACTTTATATCTCGCAATTCTGACTTTATATCTTGCAATTCTGACTTAATATCTCGCAATTCTGACTTTATACCTCGCAATTCTGACTTTATAGCATGCAATTCTGACTTAATATCTCGCAATTCTGACTTTATAATACGCAATTCTGACTTAATATCTCGCAATTCTGACTTTCTAACACGCAATTCTGACTTAATATCTCACAATTCTGACTTAATATCTCGCATCTCTGACTTTATAATACGCAATTCTGACTTAATATCTTGCAATTCTGACTTTATACCACGCAATTCTGACTTTATACCACGCAATTCTGACTTTATAACACGCAATTCTGACATAATATCTCACAATTCTGACTTTATAACACGCAATTCTGACTTAATATCTCACAATTCTGACTTTGTAACACGCAATTGTGACTTAATATCTCGCAATTCTGACTTTATATCTCGCAATTTTGACTTTATAATACGCAATTCTGAATTAATGTCTTGCAATTCTGACTTTGTAACACGCAATTGCGACTTTATATCTCGCAATTCTGACTTTATATCTCGCAATTCTGACTTTATAATACGCAATTCTGACTTAATATCTTGCAATTCTGACTTTATAACACGCAATTCTGACTAAATATGATCACAATTCTGACTTAATATCTCACAATTCTGACTTTATAACACGCAATTCTGACTTAATATCTCGCAATTATGACTTTGTAACACGCAATTGCGACTTTATATCTCGCAATTCTGACTTTATATCTCGCAATTTTGACTTTATATCACGCAATTTTGCAACATGACATCATGACTTTTGCGTAAACATATACGCCACTTTCGCGCCAGGTGGCGTGTTATCTCTACGCATTTTGAGCTATCCGCGTGTATCCGCGTGTATGCGTATATGTCTACGCCATTAACGTCCGCGTCATTCCACGTGTCTGTACACGCAGTCAAATCTCCAGTCATAAATGCCATTAACCCCAGTGACGGTTAAGTTTAGGGATGGGGTTGAGGTAAGTCATATCTTTTTCTTTCCTAGGATGGTAAGGGAACAGTCATAAATGTCATTAACCCCAGTGACGGTTAGGTTTAGGGACGGGGTTGAGGTAAGTCATATATTTATATAACGTTAAGTCAACGGCGTTCATAAACACGCTGAAAGGCGATTATGCGTCTTGATAGCACGCCAAAAATGGAAATAAGAATTGGCGTGTCATACACACGCTATTTCATGAGATCAGTCTGCAATTTTGACATTATATCTCCTAATTCTGAGAAATAAAGTCAGAATTGCGAAATGTAAATTAGCAATTGTGAGAAAAAACGTCAGAATTGTGAGATAAAAAGTCGCAATTACCTTTTTATTTTCATTCTGTGGCGGAAACAAGCTTCCATAGTTTTCAGCCTTAAAGCCCCCCACCCCCACCCCCCAAAAAGGTTTTCCTAACTCTTATGCAGTTATGTTTTTCTCTGAAACATATGTGGGAAACCAATAAACTTTTTTGGTCCTTTTTGACAGCCATTGTCCCCATAAGCTGTCTTATTTAAATTTCTGAAAACAGCTTACAGAACTGAATGAACGAGTCAGCACCATGAGCAACGTTCTCAACCCTTCTTTTTCAGGATCAAGGGGATACTCCTCAGAATCTGTATGTTCCTGTTGGCCTATGCAGCAGTAGGGATCTGTCCACAACCCTGCTGCCCGACATCTTCAGCCATTTGCCTTTGCACTCTCAAGGACAGGTGCCAACACCTGTCCCGATGATCCCTATTGGGGGGATAAGAATGCCCTCCACGTCAATATCTGGTGCTGCTGGGGAGAGAAATACGCTCCCATCAATTCCACAGGGGAAAATATTAGAAACGGCTAGTTCTGGCCAGAACTCAGCCCCTGCCCTAGATCCTGGAGTGGCTTACAGTGGAGAAATAGCAACCTCTTCCACTGGCCTTCATTGCAAAGATGATAAAAAGGAGGAGAGCGTCTACATCTGTGCAAAAGCTATTGCATCCCTCAGAATCACATCTGAAGATGCCGCCGATAAACCACCTAAAAGCTGACTTTGTAAGCACTGTATAATCGCATTCAAAAGTAAAACTAAATCCAAGCTCAGACCAGAAACATACTTTATGCAAGTATTCATACATAGTGAATGGCTGTGTTGAACACACCTTACATGCGTTCTTGTGTTGCACTGGCAGTTCTTCTGTACTGAAGGAGCGATAGAGTTACCTTTAAGTGTCTGTGCCATTAAACTGGATGTGTTATTCTTCAGGTAGCTGCTGTTAAACAAGCCAAGTTTAACAAACTTTAACTAACTTGCTCAGCTAAATTCTCAATAGTTGACCTGGAAGAGAACAATGACTCAGAGCGCCACCTTGCAGCTTTATACATTGCAGTCTGACATTTCAGAGGGTAAAAATGCACAAAATTGTGTAGAGTGTGTTTTTGGCCTTGGAGTCTGACCAAGATTATTTGGAGTTTTGGTAACGTGGGCAAAAACTAATTATATGCACAACATCGCGCATTTTCATTCATTTCAATGCACATGCCATATTCTCTATACCTGCCATACCAATTTTAACTATAAATGTGTATAAGCTTAGAATTTACAACAATATGTGCGAAAAGAAATATTATTTCATGGAAACTATTTAAATGGCAGATCTGCATCTCACAGGACAATTTAAACAATTCCTACTACAGGAAGTGCATCAAGTCCCGAGTATAATACAAAGCACTGGTCGCAATTCTAACTGACATCGTCTCCATTGACTTCTGCTTGTGCCTTTTAAGAAGATGTTTGGATATCCCTCAAAGAGAGAAAGTCATTCGATGTACCCTATTTATGCACTTAACAATAGTGGTGGTCATAAAGGTTAACTAATATGAGATATTGTGGTTGCTTTTTGAGATTGCACTTACAGTATTAAGTACAGTATGTTAAAGTTTGCATATTGCATTAAGCTGTGCTATGACATTGCCTTGTATGCTGTTGTATATTTTTGCTGGCACCTTTATAACTTAACTGCATTATGAGCGTTCAAGATTATGAACCTGATGAATTCTTTTGTTTAAACCTTCTCCACCGTATAGTATTTTTCTAAATGTATCATACCTCGTTTCCTTTAGACTTTAGATTTTTCTGCACTTAAGCAAAGAAATGTCATTACAAGGCATTTTTAATATAGATCTGCATATTATGATATAAAAAGTGGTAAGTATTGTGCATTAAGATGACTATTTGAAGCACTTTCTAGGTAGCTGATAGACTGAATGCCGTGTCATCAATATTGGAGCTCTTTTGAATCATTTTAGATGATTTTTGTTTTCATTGAATTAATCTTGACACAACATTCCAGTCACTGTTATGTCAAATATATGTGCACATACAGTACATACACACATTTACATGTTTATACACACACGTACATATTTACAAACACACTCACATAATCGCTATCATGTACTGTAATTACTTTTGAAGAGTGTCTCGTGTAGAAGTAAACAAAAATGAAATGTTACATTTGAAGGGATAGTTGCTTTTTTCAGGTTTTTCTTGCCATCAGATAAATGAGTTTGTCTGGTGAACTTGTCTGACTGTTTGAATGTATGAATTTTTAACCTAAGTCATTTTAAATGTCTTTAAAGAAGGTATAAGTGCTATCTCATATTAAACATATTGATATCATATGAAGTAGCAGTCAGTTTATGGTATTTATATTAATAGTCTGAGTATTAAAAAATGCTGAGATGGTAAATTTAAACTGAGTTTATACTGAAGGAACTTTCATGTCATGTTTACAGTATTACATATTAAAGATTTTGAGGTATCTAATTTCAGTTTATGGCATTTTAGAAGTTACAACTGTTATTTATCTTTGGACTGGTACATGGTCATCGTTTAGTGAAGTTTATGAATGTTTCTTTTGTTTTGCCCATAAAGGCAGCTGATTTCTTTTTATTTAAATGTTTGTTTTTGTTTTACTCTGATTACAAGATGTCCTTTAGAAAAAATGAAAATTAAAGTTCTATCAAAAAAAAAATTGTTGACGATGTTCTTACCTCAAAAATGCAATATTCGTATTAATTATAATAAACAAATCAGATGAACAAGTAAATGTAAATTCATCTCTAATTTAAGTTTCAGAATAAGTTTTTGCTTCTTTACCATATTTAGCACATCATATATGCTTCTTTTTGCCTTATTTTGTTTGGTAACTCTTTACAATAAGGTCTCATTTGTTAACACTCTCCAACATGAACAATGAGCAATACCCAAGGCGTCATCTAACTCAGTGTTTCCCAAACTTTTTTTCTGGCGACCCACATTTTAAAGTCGATAAATCCTTGTGACCCAAAAAACATTAGGCCCATATAGTTCATATATCACGAAGAGAATTTATGCATTAACAAAATATGTATGACCATTTTTTAAGGTCATTTTTTAAGCTTCCAGTTAACTATTTAAAAGAGATACAGATATTTGACAAATCACTTTTTTTGTTTAACCTGTTGTTGACAATATGCAGAGGTGAAATGAGAAAGGAAAAGTTGACAGGGCATCTCATTGTTTTCATATTCTCATAGTTACAGTGTACATAATTTACTATAATAATTATTATAGGCTTAAATTAAAATATTCTGACACTGAGACTTTGTAACCATGCATGGCTCACTACCACTGCATAAAAATGCCTAACAGGCACACAAAAAAAAAAAAACAACTACACACACGATTAAATACAAATTCCTCTACCCCCCTAATAAATCTAAGGCAATATAAATGACTATAACATAGCATTCAATATAAATATTCCACATTTATGCCCAAACCATGGTAAATTATTACATTCAGGCTATTACATGGTAAATGTTTGTAAGGGTGGTGATTAGGGCATTTAGTCTTCTAACTTTATTCATGTTTCTTCTATTTTTCTCATCAGTAGTGTTGGGAATGTTAAGACTGTTTCATCCGATTTAAAACTAGTTAAAATCATTGAGTGATGTGTGGTTTGTAAGAGAGAGGAGTACGTGTCCGACGCTTCTTAAAGGATGTCGCGGGACCGGGAGTAAACGCAACTCCTTTAAGCTTTGCGTTCCGTTATCCACTGGGCCGTGCTGCCTAGTTCAAAGTAAACTAGTGAAACGACTGAAACCAGCGCTATTTTGTTCTCTATTTGTTGTTACTTACCGAGAAACCGCTTCAGGTGAAAAAAATCCGAATCGTTTCAGACCGTTATGCACGCGCGTTTGGCCAATGGCCAATTCATGGAAAGGAAATAATCAAACCAACGAATGATTATTATCGCTGGTTCAGTCGACAGAAATACGGGACACGCATAAAAACTGCTGAAATATTCGGACTGTAAACTTTTCTCTCAGGTCAGTCGGAGTGCTCATGGTACACACACAGTGCGTGCGTATAGTCATCCAGCTGCACGCGCCACTGCGTCCACGCGCATATCTAACCAAATTTAGCCGCGCGGCACCACCAGAAAATAGGAGGAGAGGGAGGTTGGGGTGCCCTCGGCCGTATGGAGATGATTGGCGGGCCGCACTTGGCCCGCGGGCCGCCAATTGAATAGCCCATATCTAGAGAGTAGCCTACAACACACTGAAAAATAGTGCTCGACTTGGCGACCCAGACAAAATCTCCCGCGACCCACGTGTGGGTCGGGACCCCGACTTTGGGAATGACTGATCTAACTGACGCCTTGTGCTATGTCCACACTAATACGTTTTCGTTTGAAAACGTATATTTTTCTCTCCGTTTCTTCCGTCCGCACTGAGACGCCGTTTTAAGTCAACAAAAACGTATCGTTTGGAAAACGCTCTCCAAAGTGGATAAATTTGAAAACGCCGTTTTCGCGTTGTAGTGTGGACAGTGAAACCGGAGGTACTGTATTTCAAAACGATGACGTAAGTTTAGGCCATGTCCACACTAATACGTTTTCGTTTGAAAACGTATATTTTTCTCTCCGTTTTGGCCTTCCGTCCGCACTGAGACGCCGTTTTAAGTCAACAAAAACAAACGTATCGTTTGGAAAACGCTCTCCAAAGTGGATAAATTTGAAAACGCCGTTTTCGCGTTGTAGTGTGGACAGTGAAACCGGAGGTATTTCAAAACGATGACGTAAGTTTAGTCATGTGATCCATGTAGTACCAATAGATATTCATGTTTATCGGTATTGTGCCTGTTATGTGTTCATTTTTACACTATTTCTAAAATATGTTACTTTCTATGTTACTTAAAATGTGCTATTCTTCATAGCACAGTACTGCAAAGATGATAATGTAGTCTACTCACATTTGCTGTCCTGCGGCAAAACAGGAGAGCAGTTGCGTTTTAGACCAAACATATGGTGACTGAATGCGATCTGGACACATCAGTGATGGTGAGATATTTTGCCAAATAAAATTATCCTGTTATTGTGCGATAACATTATTTGTTAATCAACATTATTGATTTTCCCATCTGTATCATCTCAGTGAGCTTTTGTGAAGTTTCACGCATGCGCAGTAAAGTGAATTTAGAAGTTTCTCATCCACACTGAAACGTCGGAAAACGCTAGTGTGGACGGAGAGCGTTAGGCACCCTTGAGACGCCCTAGATCGCGTCTAATCCTGACCCTACCCCAGACCTAAACCTACCTGCTGCGTGCGTGACACTAAGGGTCAGTTAGATGACGCCCTATGATCGTGTCATGTAACTGACACTAGAGGGTGTCTAAAGCGTTGGATGTTGAAGCATGGTCAAAATTGTCAGTTAGATGAAGCCTCGGGATGAGAATGCATTACTACAGTATTAATTCCCCTTTGTACAAATACAAATTTTGGTTTTAGCAATGTATTAGTTAATGTTTAAATCAACAATAACCTATAAGAATAATAAATGCTGTTCATTATTAGCTTATGATAACTAATGTTAACTATTTTCATTACAAATCTTATATTAATTTCAGTAAAAAAAAATTTAACTGGGAATTTACTAAATGATGTTTTACTAACAAAGTTCGGGAGGAGCATGTTCAGAATTAAACACAGGTGGAGCACATTCAGGTAATCAAGCCTAATTAGACACGAGTGGAGCGCACTCCCAATCAATGAAGTAAGAGGTATATATACAGCAAACTTAACTCAGTTCATTGACAGTCTAACAGCATCCCACCACCACCCCATCTCCTCACTTCTTCTCCTAAATACTCTTACAACAACGAGGGGGGGAGCACTCTGGGTTCGGGCAAAAATTCCGAGCTCGGAGCCCTCCCCCTGGACAGCACGCCAAATACGCATAATCTTTACTCTGTTTAATTGATGTAAATGTGAACTCGTGAATGAATTTAAGACTCCGTATGTAGCCATGAGAGATTAATGAGATTTAATGTTTGCAATGAAACATACATCTACAATAATACATAATACAATGAAGTTTAATGACAGTATGAACGAAATAACAGTGATTATGTTAGAGAATATGTAAAATGAGTAGATTATTATAGTGCAAAATATTTACAAACACTTATTTCTGCCTCTCACAGTGTTTTATTCACAGTGAGGTAAAGAATAATGGATGGATACCATGAAATCATGCAGTTTGATGATGTGAAAATGATCTTTTACATTTGCATTCTTTTGTCTGTTATTTTCAAGTTTACGATTGTCATTGATTTGTTAAATAGCCCAACCTTCTGCAGAGGATTTCAAAAATCTCAGCCATACACAGAATCAGGGTGATGATGGTGAAAATGTACATTGCGCTGAGGAAGATGGTCTTTTCAAAGTGCTCTGGTACCATACACTTGGTGAAGTTTATTTTCTTCTCTAGTGAACTGGTGTCACAGAAGTACAGCGAATGAACCAGGAACCCAAAGAGACGACTCTGGAGCCAGAATGCTGCCATCTCCAGGACGATTCGTAACAGTACAGAAATGATGTAGAACACTGTGTATGTTGGTCGTTCCAGTATATTTTCTTGATCTATGTTTTTATATGCGGCGTACAGATGAAACACGGCCCCTGGAACAAGAACCGTCACTAGCTGCAGGGCCCAAAACACCTACAAAAATAATTAATAACTTAATTGCACTGTAAACTTTTTTTTTTTTTTTAAATCCCATTGTTTTTACAAAAAATCCTGGCAGCTGGTTGTCAGAATAATTCTGTAAAAAAATATATTAAAATGTAAACATTCCAGACATTTCACATTATAAAAATTACTGTTAACCTATTAAGAGTTTATTTTTATTTTTTCCTGTAGTGTTTTTACAATATTTACAGTTAAAATGACAAAAAAATATATATATATAATTTACAGTGTGATGATGTATAGACTGGGGCTAGTTGTCACATTTTTTCCAATGCATATATTTCATAAGCTTAAATTCTTGACTGCAAAGAATAAATAAATACAGGTAAATAAGAAATACTTTTATCTTTGTTTCTTTTCTTTTCTTTTTTTTTAAATTTGACGTAGCCCAAACATTTAAATGGTTGTGATTCACATTTACACAAAAATATTAAGCAAGCAAAACTGGTTTCACAATTAATTCACATTTGTCACTATGATATTATCTTAACCATTTATTATTACAGACTTTTGACTGGAAGTGCACAAAATAAATAAATAAATAAATGAATAAATAAATAAATAAAATGCCCCAATAGCGGGGTATGTTGTCACAGTCTCAATGGCTTTTTAGCATTTAGTTTAAAATAAAATAAAACAATAAAAATGGTTATGCAGAACAAAAGTAATGAAAAACAAAAAATGGATATGGTAACCAAATAGTTTGGGCCAACAGAGAGTAAGAATAATACAGTCACAATAGTTAAACTGCACTTGAAATTTATGTAAAATACTCTTGTCCTGAAAACGGTGTTCAACCTTTTTATAACTGGACTTTTGACTCAAAATTGAGATACAGTTCTTGTGAGAAAAAAATTGAGATACATTCCATCTTCAGACTTTCATTTTTACCTTAAAAATGACCTTTAAACTTTACCTGGGGTGTTACAGGTCTGAACTGATTGTAACAGAAGAGGTTGAGCTCCCTTCTTTCGGGGTCACAGCTGAAGTGAAGGGCCTCATTCCCATAAACGGCAAATCCCAGAACACCCAGGAAGAACATGCGGACGGAGCCAAAAAACAGGGTGTGGAATTGACCAATAACAGTTGGAGGCCGGAGCTACAAAATGAAAACAGTATAGGTACGTTTATCAGTGTATTCTGATTACAATCGATCTAATGGAAAATGTTGCCCATGAGCAAAGACATAGAAATGGCGCAATGACACACAGAACGAGCTGATGCTGTTGTTGACGCAGCACGTTTGAGCTTCAACAAGAACCAATGAGGTTCACTCTCATGTTACGCATCACGTTTGAGCTTCTACAAGAAGCAATGAGGTTCATTCTCGTGTTACGCATCACGTTTGAGCTTCAGCAAGAACCAATGAGGTTCATTCTCATGTTACGCATCACGTTTGAGCTTCAACAAGAACCAATGAGGTTCATTCTCATGTTACGCATCACGTTTGAGCTTCAACAAGAACCAATGAGGTTCATTCTCATGTTACACATCACGTTTGAGCTTCTGCAAGAACCAATGAGGTTCATTCTCATGTTACGCATCACGTTTGAGCTTCAGCAAGAACCAATGAGGTTCATTCTCATGTTACACATCACGTTTGAGCTTCTGCAAGAACCAATGAGGTTCATTCTCATGTTACGCATCACGTTTGAGCTTCAGCAAGAACCAATGAGGATCATTCTCATGTTACGCATCACGTTTGAGCTTCTGCAAGAACCAATGAGGTTCACTCTCATGTTACGCATCACGTTTGAGCTTCTGCAAGAACCAATGAGGTTCACTCTCATGTTACGCATCACGTTTGAGCTTCAACAAGAACCAATGAGGTTCATTCTCATGTTACACATCACGTTTGAGCTTCAGCAAGAACCAATGAGGTTCACTCTCATGTTACGCATCACGTTTGAGCTTCTGCAAGAACCAATGAGGTTCACTCTCATGTTACGCATCACGTTTGAGCTTCAACAAGAACCAATGAGGTTCATTCACATGTTACGCATCACGTTTGAGCTTCAACAAGAACCAATGAGGTTCACTCTCATGTTACGCATCATGTTTGAGATTCTGCAAGAACCAATGAGGTTCATTCTCATGTTATGCATCACGTTTGAGCTTCTGCAAGAACCAATGAGATTCATTCTCATGTTACGCATCACGTTTGAGTTTCCACAAGAACCAATGAGGTTTATTATTGTGTTATGCAGCACGTTTGAGCTTCAGAAAATGTAAAAAGGCTGCCTTCAGAGGAAGCATTCCACAATAGAAAGTAATCAAAGCATGTCGGAATCCAATGTTAGCTTTACTTTCTGTGTCCTTCATCTGATGGATTTTTGAATGCAGCATAGATGTGTCCATCACTGCCTTTGACTTCCCACAATCATGTGCGCTTTTATTCGGAAACAGTTGAGCTAAAAAAAAAAAGAAGGATGGCATCTAAAAGTTGCCGTTGTTGGTCAGTTTGTGTGTTTTTGCCCATTAAAACGAAATAATTTCAATGCAGAGAACTTGATCTGATTTTTCAACAAAAAATAATAAAACATAATCAGCATCAACATCACCAGCACACATTAGTTCTGTCTTACTTACGCATCCCTCATAGAAGTTCTTGATGTAGTTTAAGGACATGATAATGTCTTTTTTCTTTATGTTCAAATAGTCTGTAATGCTTTGCCCTCATTTCAGACCTGTTGCCTTCTGCTGAGCTCCAGCTCCAGTCAATGCATTTTCCCTTTCATCTGCTCTACCTTCACTGATTTAACCACGAGGTACAAAAAGACAACAAAAAGGCAAAAACAAAAGAACTGAACATGTGCTCCTCACATAATCCCCATTCAACTACGTCAGCAGAAAAAAAAAACAGGCCTTTTGAGGCATAATGGGGGAACAGCTGACAAAAAGTGAAAGACAAAGTAAATTAAAGAAACCAAGACATGGCAATAAAACAAATGCAACAGCTGATGTTTTCAAAACAATGTAAATGTTTTTATTATATCACTTATGCTATTTTGGATGTTGTATGACTATAAATCTATATACAGTAATTTTTGATTTTTCAAGATCAGTGGAAACAAAATGAACAAAGCAAAAAAATAAATATAAATTGAATTTGATTGTATTTTGAAGAAGCTTATCAGCCTGAGTCCAAGTGGAGAGCTCCTTCGCATTTATTTAGGCATAAAGCAAGACTCATGGAAAACACTTCTCTTGAATGCCTTTCCCAGCACTGTTTATCAAGTCACTAATGAATAGACTGTCAAAACCAGCTGTCAACATTTACCTATCCTGAACACATGGCACTCTGTTAGCCATGCTCTGCCTTTAGACTCTTTTCACACACTGAGATGAATGCAGAGATATATCTGATATATATATATATATATATATATATATATATATATATATATATATATATATACAAATTATTTTCGGAAAATACCTTAAATGCATAACATACATTTGTTTTTCTTTTTTAACATATACATTTTTAAAAGTTTTGCATGTTTACATTGTTTTCTTCATAATTAAGCACATTACAAATCTTTTTAAAAATGTAAATCAGCATAAATTGATGGCTAGCATGCAGCGCAAACACTTTTTTATAAAATTTAATTACATTTCCCCCCCATATTAAAGTCATGAGAATTTGTTTTGTGTGTGTACAAATTAAAAATGTAGAGAAAATATAATTAATCGTTAATCGGTAAACTAATCACATATAAGCTTTTTTTTGTTGTGAAATAGGATCTGGACATTTTTTAGATGTTTCACGAGATTCACAATTTCATATGATTGAAGTGCCCCTATTATGCTTTTTTGAATATTACCTTTCATGTATAGTGTGTAAAATAGCTGTTTGTGAATGTAAAAGGTCTGCAAAGTGTCAAAGATCAAAGTGCATGATAAATAAAGTAATTTTCTCTTAAAGGAAAGAATCGATAATGAACTGCCGTAACGAGTTGTCAGCAATAGAGTGCTGAAGTGATGACGTCACTTTGTAGGACACCTCGGAAGCTAGCGGCGCACGGGTTCCCTCGATCAAAAAGCTATGCATTTTCCCCATAGACTTTTGGAAAATGGCAAAAAATAAGATCTGTGTTCAACAAAGAGTTGTGACCCTCACACGTTTTGTCTATCACGATAATCTTTACAAGTTAATCCAAAATGTATACATGTACTTATATGTAAATGTATAATAAATCTATACTTTATAGCCTATATAAAGTTTTTAAAAAACACAACAATATAAGTTTAAAAAACCACAAGCGGAATTATAACTGGTGTGTTTTAATCTCATAGATAAAATAATACAAAATATCTAGAGGCTTTGTTCACCTTATTTTAGACGATTTAGCAAAAACCCATTCAAAAATCCCATAGACTTTAGAGAGAGGGAACCGGGAGTGCTAAAATGCTAACTCACTTCCGCGTTTTGGCCTACAAAGTGATGTGATAACTTCGGCACTCTATTCAAGTCTCACTTCCTGTTACAAACCTACGTAACAATGTAATAAATTTGCATTACGCCAGCCTATGGTCTTCAACGGCATTCGCGAACAATGTATTTATGACCCTAAAACATTGTAGTTGTGGTGTGAAAGAGTTTGGTTCGTCTTGTCAACATGTTGAGAAGACGCTGTTTTCAGAGCTGCAAATGCTTTGCTGCACTTCATAAGGATGAGGACTCGATAGGCTGGAATTGATATAGAAAAAACCTGTTCGTATTAATATGGAAACCCCAGGAGCTGAAATTCAACAACAGACGGGCCGTCTGACCAATCAGAGCAGAGGAGGCTCTCGAAAGGAGGGATTTAGAAAGACTGGATCTTTGAATAAACCATTATCAGACTCTTTGAGAAATGTGATGTGTAATGTATATTATTAGAAAATTAAAGCGTTTTATTTTTTTTTTTTTACATTGGATGCTAGTTAACCTATTTGCATGACAATGATAAAAATGGTTAGAAAATATGCTTAATTCTCTTTAAACTAACCTCAAAATGCAAAAAAGAAATGACAAAAGCATGTGTATATATATATATATATATATATATATATATATATATATATATACACATACATAAACTAGACCTGGCCTGGAAATTTCCTGAAAATGATAATTTATTAACATTTTCAAATGCTTTGATTTGTATGGAAAGTTTTTTGGCTTCATCCTGCATATTTACAGATTTCACAACAATCAAAACGTGTTTGACAAAAGGTCACAGATTTTTTACTGTAGATGAACATGATTTAAATTTCATACATTGCAGAACATGATTGGAATCTCAGTGTGGACAGAATTGAGTGTTCAGTGTGTTGTGTGTTGTGTGTTCAGTGCAACAGTGTGAGCACGATCCCTCCTGATTATTTTGAGGTGTCACGCAGCTGCTGTGTGTGTCCTGACTCGGCTCGGCTCCACTCACTCTCTCACTGCTCCTGCTGGTAAGTGTTTCTTCACGTCTTCAGTCTCATGCACTGTTATCATAGTTTTTTAAATGTGAATTGGTTTGACTGGATGTTTGATAGCCATACTGTAAAAGTAAATATATATTTCAACATGTTTTAAGTGTAACACAACATGTTATAGGCTGAATTTCTTAGGCTGAAGGTCTTGTGTGTCCGTTGAGTCCTTGAAAAATCAGTGCAATACATTGCAATGCATGAACTTTCATTTTAGGCTTTTATTTATTAAAATGAGCAATGCAATTTTTCAACATATCATTTGAACATTGACATGCTGAAGAATAAGCAGACAAGTTGACCATATTAAGGGTCTCTTGAAATAGACTTCAGGCCATGAACAGGTGCCATGTGCTTGTGAAATCAGGGGGAGTTATCAGCCTGGACTGCATGAGCGGCTAAATTTAACCAGATAAACAGGGGTAACAGACAGTTGCTCTGTATCTCAGGGGGTAAACAACCCTAAGCAGCTCTTTAGAATAAGTAATTACATCAATTCAAAGCAGTTATCTCACAAGCTCTAATGTGCATGTACACTTTTTAACACATAAGAGATTTTTTAGGCGAACTTTTCTGACCCCTCTGATTAAGCATTATTTAAAGCTTTTAAATAGTTTAGTTTTAAATAATTTATGAATAGTGAAACAATCAGGGAAATTCAATCAAAAAAAATCACTACTTGGTATGTGTAGCCTGCTATTACATTATTACATACATTATATACACTGCTATTGCCAAACATCATTTTGGAAAATATATTTTCCCTTAAAAAGTATTATATATGAATAAAACATTTATTAATCAGAAATTGTGTTAATCAAAGTAGACTCACTTCTAAAGTGACTTAAAAATCATTGTCATTACATTAAAAAAATATCAGTAACACTACAATAAGTTATCATTTGTTAAAATGAGTAAACCAACATGAACTAAAAGGAAGCAATAAAGCCTATTCTTAAAGCATTTATTAACTTTTGTTAATGTTAGTTCACAGTGCATTCATTAACAGGACTTTTGATTTTAAAAACGTAGTATTAAATGGTGAGATTAATATAATATACACTGATGTAAATAATACATAATAATAAATATAGCTGCAAGAAGCAATTATCGGGGTTCAATCGTTCTAAAGCCTTTAAGCACATGTATAAAAAAATAAGTTTTATTTAGCAAGCATGTAACCACTTTAATTACAGAGGGAAAATACTATTTTCAGCCAATACAGGCATTTTTAACGTTTTTTTAACAGTTGTTCTGATCTCTGTAAAAGTTTGCATGCTTCTTTAGAGTCGTACAGCAAACCATTTTTGAGTCATTTTAAAGTAATTTTGCATAGGAAATAAGGTTGTTCACCCAGTTAAAGTGTCACCTATGGCATAAAAGTTTCCATTCTTCTTTAACAACACCATTTTCAACACCTTTTTACCATTTATTCAAAGCTTGAACCACTAATAATAACAATAAAAGCCGCAGACGAGTTGGCCATTGTTAGTTCATTAACTAATCCAGCTAACTAATGCTCAAATGAAACCTTATTGTAAAAATTTACCATAATATCCAATCTTGTAATAAAACACAAGATGAAACATAGTTTGAAGACGTTTTCATAATTTAGTAGTAACAAATTCATCCCATCATCTTTCACTGACCCTGCCCTGTCTCAATAGTAAAATATCATCAGGATGGAGAGCTGTTCACAACCTACAAATGGAGACAGCAAGGCTGATGTGAACAATGACCTCACTGAGGATCTGAGTCAGCAGCTGGAGGACATTATCAACACCTATCAGGTGAGCGAACAGCCAGGTGAGCCTGAGGATGTTGAGGAAGAGGCTGTTCCAGGCAAGGCCAAAGAGCAGAAAATGGAAAAGAAGATGCTTAAAGGCCTCGGTGAGTCACACCAATGCAAGTTATTTAACATGTTACTCCATTTAATCACTGGCAATGTGATTAATGATAAATTAAAACAAGTATTTCCACTTTATACTGCTTATTTTTCCACTTCTCAATCAAACAGTGTGACCAAAGTAAATTGTGTCAATAATCACAGGGAAGGAAGCCATGCTGCTCATGCAAAGTCTGAATAAACTGGGAACGCCTGAGCAGAAACTAGAAGCTCTCATCAAAAAACATGCAGAACTGGTGAGTACAATCATTAACAATGTTCAACATTTGAAACATAAAAAAAAAAACGTTTCAATACCTAATAAAAACAATGTATTTCTAACATTGTATGCTGGTGTGCT